TTTTGGACAATTATTTTGTACGTATTAAATAAGTATTTTTTATTAGCATATTTAAATAAATATTTATATGTTTTAAGAGAAGGTTGATTTTATATGATATTTTGTTATTGAAATTATATTATTATATTTTGGGTCAAAAATATATTATTATTATAGAGGAAAAATATTTTATAATATATATGTATTTATTTTATTTAATTATTTTAAGGAAAAAGAGAAGTGGGTTAGAAGAGAAAGAAAATGGGTTGGGTTTACCCAGCCCAATGGATTAATTTTAAGAAAGGAGTCAGGTAGCGTTAACCCTATCTGCCTCATTTGCGTTCTGAAGGGCTAGGAAGAAAAAGAGGAGAAACAAAGAGCTCTAAGGAAGAGTACTCAGGAACGATCTTAGATTACACCAAGCCCATTCGTCTTCTGCTCATCCAGGTAAGGGGGAGTGATAAACCTCGCTCTGGGTGTGGGAATATATGTTGGGTAGTGGGATTGGCCGCCAATCCTATGTTTGTTGTAATTGTTGTATGCTCATGTATGAGGGGTTTTTTTCCAATTGTATCTGTTTCGCCTATTATTTTTCTTATATGTAACTAATCCTGGAAGAATTCTCACGATACATGTTAACCAGAAAATAACTCAGGAATGCTACTTTTCTAGCTTAAGGATCACTCGGTTGGAGGAAGCACGACCAAAATCCAAGAGAGTCAACAATGTGGTAACTCCCTCACCTTCCATCCCATACTCCTCAAACTGGGATCTGGGCCAAAGAATGAATAATGAATATCGGGCAGCACAAACGTAAGAAAAAATCCTCCTACAAAATTGGCTCGCAAGGGACACAGGTTACATATATGGGGATCGGTTTGCTAGTAGTCGATCGGGCAGAGTTGAGCAGAGTCATTAGGAAAAACAAAGATCTCTTCACATGGGTACCTTCGGACATGTCGGGCATTGACTCCAACTTCATGTGTCACAGGCTGTCAATCTGTTGGGAAGCCAAGCTAGTAGCCCAACGAAAAAGGAAAAAAGAACTTGTTTCCCCAAAACTCCACCATCTTGGTTATATTAGAAGTCATACATACAACCAGGTATTCTATGGAAATTAATTATTGAACGTGCTATAGTGATATGCCTATTAACAGAAATAGACCCCCAACGTGCTTAGGGATAACGTGTTCGACTTACTAACATTTAAAGGATTTGATAATGAGTTTTAACAAGTAAAGAATAAGAAGAAATAAGTTAAATTTGTAGAGGGCATATTAATTGTTGTAAAATTGAATTTTCAGGAAGTTCACGACAAGGTGGATCCCAAGTTTTTAGAATCATCACATTATGCATAGCTGGACCTGCAGCCGTCTTTGCAATTGTGATGGCATGCTGCGTGTGCTACAAGGACAGACTAGTGAACAACAATGGCAACAACGCTATTGCGAGGTCTGCAGGAACTACAATATCACCATTACCGCAAGAAGAGAGTGTGAGTAGGGGTCTGGACGAGTGGACGATTGAGTCTTACGAGAAGGTAGTGGTTGGAGAGAGTAGACGAGTTCCTGGACCGAACGATGGATGCTGTTGGATATGCTTGTCGGAGTACAATAGCAAAGAGACAGTAAGATGCATCCCTGAATGCAACCACTGCTTCCACGCTCACTGCATAGACGAGTGGCTTCGCATCAACTCCACATGCCCAGTTTGTCGCAACTCTCCCTCACCTTCTCCTCTTCATCTTACTTCTTGAACCATCATCCATCTTCTCTTCTCATCTCTACACCTCATCTACTTAACTCTTATTACTTTTCTTTTCTATATTTCTAAACTTTAATATGTTAGCTACATATTAGTCACAATTTGACATCTAGTGCTTTCAACTTGTCTGGTAATTTCTCCTTACATTGTTTTCACCTCCCTCCCTTTCCCCTCTTTCATAAACAACTACTATATGTAATACTCTTTTGGCTTTTTTATTTTATATTTTTTGTACAAGGAATAAATTTTATATTATCATTTTTTATATGAAAAGAATCATAGGACAAAGACATAATTTGCATGATTTTTTTTTTACAAGGAATAAACTTGAAGCATTACTCGACTAGAAAAATGATATATCCTCCGAAAATTCGTTCCGAATCATCTTTCGATTAATTAAAAAGCTTTTTTTTTAATTAAAAAAATTATAAACATGAATCATAATTAATTAGGAGGAATTTTCGGTCAAAATTGCCGAAGCTGTAACATTATATGATTATCACTTACTAGACTGTTCCATGTATGGATCGAAAGTCGTTTTACGTAGAGCTGTCAAAACGGATCAGTCTGGTTTATATGGGTCGGTCTACCTTGACCCACTTTAAAAACGAGTTAACCCAACTCGGCTCACTTTTGATTTTCTAAAAAAAAAATTGGCCTGGCCCGGCCCACCACGAGTTGGTGAGTTATACGGGCCAAGCCCATCAGCCCACCAAAAAATAAAAAAAATATCAATAAAATTCAAAATTTTAAATTAATTATAAATTAACATAATAGTCATAAAATTAACATCATTAATAGTCATAAGTCATAACTCATCGTACAAAATTAAATACAAATCATGATAAAAGTCTAAAATAAAAATTTTCAATATCCCATCATACAAAATTAACTACAAATCATACTTAAATTTTTATTGCAAAAAAGAAATAATGGGTTGGTGGTAAGAAGAAAATGGTAGATGAAGCATAGGTGACAGAATATAAGCATAACAAGATTCATCAAATGTGTCATAATTGTGATGGGGTTGTGGGAAAGACTTACATGCTCATCTCTTACACTAGCAACACATTCTCGACGATATGACTAACTAGGCATGATCATTGTAACGACCCGCCTTAGGTCACCACATCAACAACCAACTAAACAACACATAAGAATAATATAAAATAAGGAAAAGAGAGCAAATGCCAGCTATCCTAGAGTGAAAATAGTTTAAAACGCATAAATTATTTTCATCATATAAAACATAACTTTATAAGAGAGTTATCACCAGTAAGGTTATACAGTCATCCAAAAAGATAATATAATTACAATATCATGAAAACACCAAAATAAGCCCTAGGTGCTGGTCAAGCTCTAAGTCTAGCCACTTCTCAAAGTAGCTACCAAAAGACTCATTGCCATCCCAAAGCCTCACACCTGATCTGCTCCCCAACATAGTGAGATCATCATAGTCCACATCATGAGATCGCGGTTGGCTAGTGCTAATATTACTGGATTTTAGTAAGCCTTTATGGTATATAAAAGTGCTTCTAAGATAGGTTTGGGTGGAGTGTTGATGCAAGAAGGAAGGGTAGTAGCTTATGCTTCTAGGAAATTGAGAAATCATGAGAGGAATTACCTTACCCATGAATTTAAGTTAGCGGTTGTAATATTTATACTAATATTTGGAGTGTTGAGGTATTTAGTGATCGTTAGGGCCTTAAATATCTTTTGACCAAAGGAGTTGAATATGAGACAAAAAAGATAATTGGAATTTCTTAAGGACTAAGATTTTGATCTTAGTTGTCATCTGGGCAAAGTCAGTAGGGTGGCTGATGCTTTGAGTAGAAGACCTCTAGATATATCTTCCCTTATAGTTAGAGAGATGGATCTTTTGGATCGATCTAAGGATTTAAGCTTGGCTTATGAGGTTACCCTTAGTAGTGTGAGACTAGGTATGACTCGAGTAACGAGTGGATTGTTGAAGGAAATTGGAGAAGCATAATTAGTTGATTTATTTTGGTGACAAGACATGAGGCTATAAGATAAGGTAGTGGATAAGAGTTGCCTTGGGTATAGATAAAGTGGTAAGACTTGGAGACCGATTCTATGTACCTAGTGAACTTACGCTTAGGCGCTTAATCTTTGGAGAGGGTCATAGAAATAAATCTATTATTCTAGCAGATACCTTGAGTAGGATGATCTTTCATCTATCGTCTTTGATGATTTAAGAGTTGAATTTGATTGAAGAGTTTAGAGACTTAAGCTTGGTGTGTGAGATTACCCTTAGGAGCATTGAATTAATTATGTTGAAAGTGACTAGTGAATTAATGGATGAGATTAGAAAAGCCCAGGAGTCAGATCCTTTCTTAGTGAATCAAGTGAAGAAGATTGGTAGGAGTATAGGTAACCTTTTCTGAGTAGGAATCGACGTTGTTTTGAGGTGCAAGAACAAAATTTGGGTGCCTAGTAATCCCGAATTAAGAGATGATCTTAGAGGAAGGACAAAAGAGTATTCTTAGCATTTAGGAGCTACTAAGATGTATCAGAGTGGCGCAGCGGAAGTGTGGTGGCCTAAGGTGAAGAGAGGAGTAGAGGAAGACAGAGTACTCTTGATTGACATGCATCATTTTCATAAATGGTTTTAAGGGTACGATATGGAATACATTGTCAGGGAAGGCCCCCTAGTGTAAAAGCTTTGGGGATTAGTCCTTGGGGATAGCTCGGTTGGAAGTCTCAATCTCGCCCATTGTGTGCATGGGATGTATCTTGCTCGGCTTAGCTATCCCGACGAGACCCTGGTAGTATGTCCTTCTAGTGAGAGTGCGTAGAGAGTGTGACCCGGCATGTACTCCTAGACTACTCTTTGTGTATTGCTAGCGGCAATATGCCATGTGATGTTTTATTGGCGCCACATGCATGATAATATGTAGTCTGTGTCCATACATGTGCATTTTTAATGTTATATGATAAATTGATATTTTTATGTCTTGGATGAGTGAGATGTAATATTTTTGTTAATATATTTATGCTATACCTGTCTTGTTTGTGTTTGGCTATCCGGTGTATATTCCTACACTATGAGCCAGAGTGAGATGTTTCTCACTCCCTTTTCTTGTGTTGTTTTTCCTTGACTGCCTTACAGGTTATTATCCGCATAAGGCTGAAGATGTTGGTGATGAAGCTTAGACTTCTATATTGGGATTTGCTCTGATAGGACATGTGACATCGGGCGTAGATAGGATTAGATTAAGATGTTTTTATGAAATTATTTTGGAAACTTTAGTTTTATTTATTTGTAATTTCTGTTGATTTTGTTAAGTTATGGATGTGGTACTCTCTATTTGAACACGTTTGATATTTTAATTATGAAATGTTATGTTATTCAAATTTTATTATTATGTGTTATGGTATGCGGGGTAGAGAGTGTCACACACCCAGTTGCCGACACCCAATCAGCACCCCCGAAGACCGAAGGACTTCGAGTGAAGCAACCCTTAGAACCAGTAGCCATCCCTAAATGGTGATTAAGGGTTAATCACATAAAGAGGACAATTAGAGGCGCATTACCTAATCAGTAATCTTAGTGTAAGGCCCATGGAGGACATGGCCCATTAATGTCACTATAAATAGTTTGTATCTCGAGGTAACGTCACTGTTCATTAATTGCTATCGATATTCTTGCTTGTCCTAACTTGAGCGTCGGAGTTCCTTTTGCAGGTACCCGCCCTCTCGCCAGAATATTCGATTGGAGCTCTCGTTCAGTCTTCTGAGTATGAGAAGATTACTAGTCTGCCCTTCTGACAGGTACATTTTGGCACCCACCGTGGGGCCGAACCGAAAGCTCTAAAGTCACAAGCTAAGACTATGTTGAATACTAGAAAGACAAATATGGGAGATCGTCGATCCGAAGATGAAGACCATGTGGAAGTGGTTGACGAGACAGACCTCTCTGAAATCGTTCGTCAACTGAAAAAAGAAATGGCCGCCATGAGACAACAAAGGGATAAAGATGTTAGGGAACTTTTGGCCTTGCAAGCAGAAAATGTTGCACTAAAAAACCAAGATCCTTCATGGAAGCCTACTCAACCAACCCCTACTCAAACTCAAGGATCATTCCACTCCCATGAAATCCATACTTCGGTCCCTCACGCTTCAGTTGTTGCACTAGAGAAGTTCCCATCAGCTGTACCCACAATCGACAAATCCACAAACCTCGCACCGATTGGTTCACACTGGCACCCTTTTAACCCATCTATTATGCAATCATCCTTGTTGGATAATTGGAAGTCTTTGCCAATCGACAAATATGACGGCACGACAGACCCTGATGAGCACATTGACATTTTCCTAACACAGGTAACATTGAGCACTACGGATGATGCTGCCCTATGTCAGATTTTTCGACATCTCTCAAGGGCAAGGCCCTAAGTTGGTTGACTCGGCTTCCACCCAACTCAATTGATTCGTTCAACACTTTATCTTTTTAGTTTACCATCCAATTTTCCACCAGTCGACCACACTAGCTGACATCCCTGTCGTTGGTTAGCATTCGGCAAGAAAAGAAAGAATCCCTTCAGGCTTTCCTGGATTGGTTTAATAAGGCAGCGCTAGAAGTTAGAGACCTCAATCCAACCATAGCACTTTATCACCTCACTACAGCTTTGAAACCAAGGCCCTTTGTTAACAGCATTTGCAAGAAGCCCCCCGTAGACATGGACGAGCTACTCAGGCGGGTCGACAAGTATATGCAAATGGAAGAACTAGCCGATTTCCGCAACCAAGCCCAAGCAGAAGCAGTAGGTAAGACTGAGAAGCCGATGGAGCAACCGTTTCGGGGTCGCAAAAAAAAGTTAACACTTCGAGAGCTGCCCGTACGCAGTCCGAAATATTCTCAATACACCCCATTGAATGCAACTCGGGCAACGGTGCTCGAGCAGGCTCTTGCCTTGGAAGTGTTGGTCATTCCCAAAAGAGCCTCCACTCCCCCGTGCGCTGACACGAACAAGTCTTGCCGATACCACCGTAATCATGGCCACTCCACCGAGGAATGCGTAGCTCTAAAAGACAAAATTGAAGAATTAATAAAGCAGGGTCAACTCAAAAAATTTGTTGATCGGCCAACCTCTTCTCGGTCCAGTTACCAACCTCGGTACCGCAGCCAACACTGAAGAGAACACTCGTAAAGACACCACCACGAACGAAGCCGGTCAAGAGAGAGGAAGGAAGAACCTCAAACATTGCATAAACGTGTTATCAACACCATTGCTGGA